GTCCGTGTCAATATTTATCCAAATTATTTAACTGTATTATATTAATAGGAAATGATTTGATATTTATAAGTAGTTTAATTACTAAAAAATGATTTAACTATATTATAATTTAAGTTAGGAAAGGAAATTTTAAGTAAAAAATATTGCACGTACATACTTCATGGATGAGAATTTACGAAACATATTTCATGCGATCACTGTTGTCATTTCAAAACTTTTGAAAATTTTTTTTTTAAAAAACTTTATCGATACGTTTAAGATAAATTTCTTCGATAAATCATAATGTTTTATTATTATTATAATTATTATTTTTTTAAATTCTAATCAATCAACTGGAAAAAAGTGCAAAATTAATTTTAGAGTTAAATCGACACATCACTTTAATGCTATGATTCATTCACTTATTTTGGAATAAATTTTCGATAAATTCGTCAAATTCCTTTAAAAAAATGAACTATTGCAGTGTCATTAATAGGCATTTTCAATTATCTCTCTTTTCTCGTAAAAAACAAGTTTCTCATTTTTTCCACTTTCTCATTCTTTCCTTTGCATTTCACAACGTAAATAATTTTTCTCGTACCATTTAAAAATTTCATCCATTTTTACGCTAACCACTTTCTTTCCAAATTTCTTTTATTTCATTTTTTTTAACAGTATAATTTTAGTTAGTTTGCATAAAGTATGCTAGGTCACTCGCAGGAGATCAACTATATTTACTTAAAGGATACAGAAAGAAATCGAATAACGATTATTGTACTGCATATTTTATTATTTATCCACTTTATATTAAATTCTATGAAGTATTATAAAATATCTATTATGTATTATATAATTAATTCTTTGCGTTATAACTTTCTGCAATACTGGAAAGTTATAACGCAAGGAATTAATTTGCAACTATAATTCGATTATTAAAAAGAATTTGTGTAAAGTATATTCATTATATATTAATACATGAACATTATAATTGAAGATGAGAGATGCTATGGAAAGAACCGTTTAAAATAACTTTTGCTCTCTTTCCTTTACTATGTTTGTTATTTAAAATGACAATATTAATATCAAATGAGTTAATTATTAAATATATTTCAAAACTATCTTATTAAAAAGCTTTAGAGGAATATTTCAGAAGTAACCTATAAAAAGTTAGTGGTAAAAATTATCACAGTTAAATAGTTATCTTTAAGCAAATGTTGATGAAGGAACTCACAATTATCAACTTCGAAATTTATTTACTTCTGAAAAACTAGAAATCCAAACATCATAAATAAAAATGTTAGTCAAACAAATTGTTAATACAAAATTTGATTGATCCACTTATTTTTCAAGCATTCTCAAGGAAACTGATAAAACTTTGATAAAAAAATTTTAATGATAAATTGTCAAAAATGAATAGAAAGCTTATTCCGACAATTTTCCATAGATATTAGTGTTTTCCACCTTCCAATAGTTTGATCGTATTTTTTGTGCTTTTTAGATAAGGTTCAGAATAAATGGCTCGACATCAACTATCATCGTTTTCACCGCGTCTTAGCCGATTTTTCGATGAATTCCGTGATCTTGACATGGCAAGACCATTCTTCCAACGACCTTATTGGACAGATTATCAGTTCGAGGATTCTCATAAATTGGGTTCCGGTATTGGCCAGGTTATCACTCTTCTCATACTTTTTTCTCTTTTAGATATTGTTCATCGTCCTTAATAATACACATTAATTTAATATTCATTTGATTTTTTTCTTTGTGAAAATTTTAAATGTTCATTAAAAATCATATTAATTTCATTGCGGCTATTTGGCGAAATATCGAATTTTATTGTAAAATTTTTCAGTTACTTCATATTTTTGAGGAACGGCATTCCCAGCTGATATGCAATCACTATTGATTAAATCATAATTAATCCTTAATTCAATTAATTCATTCCTTACAGTTATAGCATCATCATAAATATCTAATACAATAGGAATCTATTTTTTGCTTTCAACCTATCCTATGATATCTTTTATTAACTGCACTCCCTATCAGTTATAATTTAATATTTCAGATAATCGATGACGATGAACATTACTCGGTGACCATTGATGTGTCACAATTTGCACCAGAAGACTTGAAAGTTTCCGTAAGTGATGGGATGGTTATCATTGAAGGTAAACATCCAATGATCAAGGATCAATTTGGAGAAGTTAGTGTACTTTTTTTTGTTGTCTAATATTTCAGTTTAACTTTTTAAGAATTTCTTTGAACTCTTCTAATTCAGTCTTTCATTTCAATAAAACTATTTTAAGTGAAAAAAAGTTAGTAAAGACTAGATTTCTAGGCAATATTTGATTTGATTGTTAAATCAAATTTACTGTGCATATGCAGGACTTACTGCATATGCACAATAAATTCACAAGTAAATGAAAGAAGATTGTAACATAGTAAATCATAATTGCATTTAGAATTGAAACTAAAACTAAAGTCCAAATTATGTGAATAATTGGAACATATATTTTAGGATAGTTGTCAGATTGACGTCTAAGGAATACAGTCTGCAAGTTTAAAATAATATTAGCTTTTTTTTTCAAATACCATATGACCAGTATCAGAAAAGCTTTTATTTTCTATATTTTACGATTAAAATTTATTTTATGATAACATTATTTAAAACTTCAGATTGAACGACAATTCATTCGTCGTTTAGTGTTACCGAAAGGTGTAAAACCTGAACTGGTAACTAGCGAATTAACAAAAGATGGTAAATTGACAGTGCAAACACCAAAGAAAGAGAAGAATCAGACACAAACAAGGACAGTACCAATTTTGAGAAAAAATTGATGAAAATTAAGAAGATGGAAAAATTGAAACAAACACAAACATACATTAACAATACCAAGAAAACAATATCGAAGAAAAGAAAATCTAAAATTATTTGTTCTATGTTCAAAATCCATACAATGACTGAAAATTAAAAAAAATCGAATAAATGCTGTCATTGAGATAAAGGTTGTCTCACATATAATTAGTACGAAAAATGTTCAATGCTTACATGATTAAATCACGATGGGCGTAATTTCAAATTAAAATTTATCATCCTACGAAATGTTTATTTATTGCAAAATTTCATGTGCGCAATTTTTATTCCCATTATTTATTGAGAGAAAAGATTTAAGTGTGACTGCTAAAGGAAACTCATAACATAGCTTAATTCTCGTATGATTTAGCTAATTTTAAATGACTTCTAATCATCACGGCATTTCACAAATTTTGATTTAAAAAAATTTAATCTACCCAATAAATCATCAATTTGTTTTGACATTTTAGATGGAACAGCAAATTTTATTGATATGATGATAAGTTAGCTTATAGAACGCACTTTGATATGATGATAAGTTAACTTATAGAACGCACTTTACAATGCCACTTGGAAAGCACTTAAATTTTGGTCAAAAATGAATACAAAATTGCAAATGAAATCTCTAAAAAACATAGCAGTACTCACATAAGATGAACAATGCATGCATGTTGACTAGGCAAAACACGGAAAACAAAAAAAAATGGCAGCAAAGATTTAATTTAAAACTCGAATTATATTCGATATTTGTTATCCAGATGAAAGAAGTTCTTCCATAGGCAAAGCACCTCAAAATATTAAAAAACGCAAAAACTTTTGAAACAGACCAAAGTCAATTCAGCAACACAGTGAATGTAAAATTCTAATCTAATATGAAATAATTTCAATTGATTTCGACAAAAGACACAAATCCTTGAACTAGACCAAAGTCAATTCAACAACAAAGGGAATGTAAAATTCTAATCTAATATAAAATAATTTCCTTGATTTCGAAATCATTTTAGAAGTTTAAAGTATTTCATTCACTCATGCAATACGTTTCGAAAGAAAGAAAATTAATAAATAAAATCAGTACTCATCTCACAAAATGCTAAACATTCTGTGCTTATTGGTTTACCATTTCTCAACATCTTCAACGGATGAACGATACGAACAATCCGAAAATCAAAATTTCCGCATCCGCTCTCTTCAGATGAAATCTAAAAAAGCAGCTCATTAATTTTAGCACTCAGCTAGAACTATTTTGAACGTCCAGTCATAAAATTGGTATAATTCATCGTGATCACACAGAACAAACAATAATGCATGTCTCCTGGCAGAAAACTTCGCATGTCAAAACACCTTTCACTCATCTGTTGTAATATTTATAAAGTTACCTTGACATCGATAATGTGCGGTTCGGGTACAGCTATCGAATCACCGATAACCAGTCCAAATTTATTTGACGCATTATAAACAGAAAAAGCACAACAAGACCCTTCTTTATCACAGCCAACAAATGTGCTCAAATCAAAACCGACATTAGTTACCTCATCAATTTTTTATTATTCTAACCATTTCTCACTTTTTAAAATCGCATTTTGTATAATACTACGATATTCTCTGTATCCTTGTAAACTAGTTTTGCGATTTTGCGATTCAAAAGCTCCATCTAAATACACATGTCTTTACTGTAGTTGATGAAAAACTTGTTAAGTCACTTGAAGCAACGAATCTTGCTTTTTCTGATAAATATGAGAATGTCTTCAAAAAATAAAAGGAAATAACTTTGAAAAAATGAAAAATGGGAAAGAATGCTTACTAAGGAACAACTTCGGTATTAGGGATAATTGCAACAACTTTGCCACAAATCACAACATCGCCATTAATTTCCTCCTTCAATTCTCGAAACAAAATTGATCTAAGGATTTCTATTTTACCATTCTTCTTCTTGAATGGCGTTTTACAATACATACCAAAATCTTTATCAGATATCGAAGATTTGAAGTATTGCATTTTCTTAGCACTCAACTTACCTGAAATATTCGCGTTATATATAGCTAAAAACAAAAATAGACAAACAAAACAGCTGGAAATGCTGTAGACTCTTAAATGCCTGTTTATTGTATAAATTTACTAATTGTGAAGTTAATCACAAATCACTGATCTGTGTCCTACATCCACAATAACTAAATCGTTATATTTTAAAGTTCCATAACGAATATATTTCGAATAATTAAATTAAAAATTTATGCAATCACCTTTATTTAGCACATGTCTGTTAACTTGTTTCAAGAATGATAGCAGTGTTTCCAGTCGCTCTTTTGCTTCCAAATACCCTGGGTCGTGAACAGTTGCAATTTTCAAATGTTTCAAACACTCGCTGTAATTCTGGATAAATTTGAGTGCAGTTGAATAATTGAGATGCAAATCCGAATTATCACGTACATCACCAAGTTCCAACGCTTTTTCGTAGGCTTCTCGAGCTTTATCCTATAAAATGACTTTATTTCAAAAATAATGATAGAATGGAAAAAAGGTATAAAGGAGGAAACAAACTATAAGTTCCATATCTGTTTGGTAATTGAGGAAGAACTGCGTCAAGCATGAATTTCCTAGTGCATGCCATGCTCTCTCACAGTTAGGATCCAGTTTGACTGCTTCATCAGACAACTGAGCAGCTTCCTTTTGCAGTGAATGCTGAATTTTTGTTTCCTTTGTGCACAAAGCAGTATGTCGAAGTGCCGCTGCAAGTGAGGAGAGACATTTTCCAGTACGTTTCAGAGCTAATGATTTCTGAAAACAAATAAAAAGTAGTTAGAAAAATAAATGATATTAATTGAAAAATAAGCTTAAAAATGAACTGAGAAAGTGAACAAAAAAAAAAAGGAAAACAGTTTGGTAAAATCATTGTTCTTGGAAGGTGTTCGTATATACTAACAATGATGAACAAAACATCAAGGTTACCTCACAAAAATTTCATTGTATCTCTTCGCCAATAAATAATTTCTTAAAATGAGAAATTCTAAACTTCTTAATACTGCAGATTTCATTTGATAAAAGCTAACCACATAATATATTAACATTTAAATTCGAACGACGCTTACACGAAAACAATCCACAGCCATCGTGAAGTCTTCCCTTTTCCAGACACATTCGCCTAATTCATACCATGCATCACTCAATGAAGGATCCAATTTTACGGCACGTGATAAATATCTTTCACAGTTTGCATCATATTCCACACAGATATTTAAAATTCGTCCACAAATATAATTATATCCTGCCGATGTCGATGAGTGTCCATTCATATCCAACGGAATATCCTGCAAAAAGGAACTCTTCTCGAAAATTAAACTCAAAATAATTAATAAGTGATGCCACTATTTCATAATTTAACGAAACTAACAATCGCAAATTGTGAGATTTCGAAGCATTATTATTATATTCCGTTAAAGGTGAGAAATATCGCTATGACCGGATTTTTTTGGAGAAACAATAATTTTCGGAAACTGAACTATTAATTTGCAATTTTTGAACACTAATTTTTCAAATGATATTGTGTTCAAATGTGATCGAGACGCTCGAACAGATTAAATTCATTAAGTTATCACAATTATAAAAATAAATCCAAATGAATGAAATACTGAAAATATCAATTTATAGGGAAAGCAGAAATTAACAACTAAATTAATATTCACGTCTTTTGACTGATTACTAAAACAGTTATAGAAGTAACTGAATTATTGGGGCTGTTAAGCTTTTTAAAGGATGGAAAAGATTAAAATGGTTGAAATAACGAATTGATGAGAAAAAATAAATTATAGAAATGTTCAAACCAATAGAATGACAGAAATTATCGAAACAGTAAAATTTTTAATGAAAGGATAAATTATAAGAAGGATTAAATTACAACTGAAATAATACATTATTGAAAAAGTTACTGAAATTAAATGCGCTGTCATGGATAAACAATAGGTAATATTATGCTAATAAAAAGAACTATATATGAAAATGGAATTTTACCTGAATTAATGGTAAGACTTTTTCCCGTACTGCTCGCTTTTTCTCTGTCAACGTGCCTTTTGAAAAATTTTGATAGTAGCTGTCACGGAAACGTTCAGCTTCCTTGATTTTCTCCTCTAGAACTTCCATTTCTTCGCTATTCCTCGGAAAAGCAAGGTCTTACTAAGGTCTTATCAGCATAATCTACAGAAAGCCTAGAACAATTGTGGTTATAAACATAACTGCTACCGCTATTATTTATTACATTACACCTAATATTTACCATTAACACTTATCAACCGAACAGTGCGCACAGCTATTTCACAATAATGTGATTTCACTTCCTAATCTTTACAATGCTAAATTATTAGATCGATGATAAAATTTAAAATCAACTTATTCTTTTATGATAGTGATATTATTCAGGAATGAAAATAAAAAAAGATAGTGTTCTGCACAGATGACAGTATTCATGAGATACTAAATCTTGGCAATAATTTAAAAAGATCCAATTTTATGAATACAGTTTAATCGTGATTTTAAAAATAAGATTGCTAAAAAATGGTAGTTAAAAAAAAACCATTACAAAATGGCAATTTTAAAAAATAGAAAACTAAAAACCAACATTTATTTCAATATTATAAACTAAGAAAAATTTAGTGTTTGTTATGATGAGACAACAGAGATTGCTAATGTTCGCAAAATATTATGTCCCGAAAATGATGAGCTAAAAAGTTGAGAAATATTCGTAACTTATGAGATAATAACAGTATATGAGAGACAGTATGAACGATGCAATGATAACTGAGAGGGAAAGAAAGGTGAATTATTAGGATTAACGAAATAGCATAGTGTTTAGTGATTGAGGAAATGAGAAGAGAGTATGGAAATTGATAATAGCATTTTGTCTGTCTCGTTTAATCATTCATTATCACTCTTTTCATTGTACGTACTGTGAAAATATTTGCTTAAAATTTACCCATTTTATAGCCTAATTGTTAAAAATTCAAAATTTCTAACTAAATAGGAAAAAAATGGTAGGCAAGATTTAACAAGCCGTGAGAGTTCTTGTCATGGGATAGAAAAAATTGCATGAGATCAGAATCATTTGGTTGTGTATTTGATTGGTGGCAGTACTGTTCATTGAAAAAAAAAAAAGTTTGTTGGAAATCTAAGATGGTCGGGATTAAAATTTTGTTTAAATTTGAAATAATTACATCATTTTTTTCGAACGAGTTTTTTTTTTTAGCAAACAGTACTGAAAAAAATAACTCTGATTTTCCACATCTTTACATCGGTTTCATTCAAAGTGATCTGCATTTTTAGCGCTAAGATTTCAGTTTTTCAATGGTATTTGCTTTCAGTTTCAAGCTTTTATGTGACGAAATTTTAGATTTTAGATTTTTTTTGAAAACGGCATACATTACTTTCCAATTGTTTAACAGCTATGAAGAAACGCCGATATTAGCAATGATTTATTTTGGGTAAAAGCAAGACTCTTTCTCCCTACACTGTTGCCAGCGAATGCTACATTTAGAATTAGGATTTTAAAAATTAAGTGGTGGAGAAAATCATGTGATTGATATCACTATCTTGTCACCAAAAACAAGTTGCACAAATATGATTGATTGGATTAGTTTTTTTATTGTAATAGCTTATGTAAATTGCAATGAAATTGTTTAGTTTTGTAGTAAATTTTCATGAAAGTTTTTTGGAATTCATTGCAATAATTTTCTCACATATCGAATTTTGCTGCATTATATAACAGTTATTTTTTAATTGTCGTTTCCTTCAAATTCCCACTTTTTGTATTTTCGTCTTTTGAAATTTTTTGAATATTCAATTTTACTTTACCTAAGCAATAAATACGGCAAGGAAAATGATTATATTATAATGTTCCTCAATTTAATAATTTCAGACTTGGTGATGACAGAAACTGTTATACATCAGAATCCAACAGTTGTTACGGTTGCTTCGTCAGCACCATGGAAAGTTGATGCCCAATCGATAGTTTCCGAAACCTTGTCAACTTCCCTGGTAAATTGTTTAGTTGTTTTTTCTCCTCTCTGTGTGGTTGATTAATTGGAAGTTTCTTTTTTCTTTTAAAGAACTCTCAGATAATCTGGCAATTACCATAGTCTGATAGTTTATTACTACAAGAAAAGAAGATCTCAAATACATTACTATCATCATGAAAGAACGATTTCCTTGGTAAAACTAGCATTGCTTTTTGACAAAATTTCAACTATTATATCCAGTTTCTGTTTTCATGTAAGCCAATAGGATCTGTATAAAAAGTACTGAAATAAGAAAGAAAAACGAGGTTCGAGAAGTTTGATTTATCTTACCAGCATAAAGAGATACTTTATAGTAAACTATGATCTCTTAACTCAATAATTACTTTTGTTGGTAGTGAAGTATTTGATTTTTTAGGAAAGGAGGCATACATCAATCAGTGACTTCCCTGATAGTGTGTCAGCTAGCTTGTTTCAAAACGAAGCACGACGAATGTTGTTGAATCAAAACTTATCATCCTCCATAACTCATGCTGAAAGGACAAATCCTTTTGAAACTAGGTTTTATATTTTCTGTAAGGTTGTGTATAAATCTATGTATTTGAATAAAGAAAAAAAGCACTGAATTCGAAAATCAACCACATTTTTTTCAGTGACAATACTAAAGAAGAATTTGCTAGTTCTTCGGATGATTATTTATCGGATAGAGCTGAAGTTGTATTTAGTGAGGACACTGCTCCGTCACAAGTAAAATGTTGAGATATATTTTTCAAGTCATTTTATAAGGTTTTTTAAGAGTTATTTTATAAGATATCAAAATGAGAAGTATTACAAGGCATGTATTATTTCTTCAATAATAGATTGAAAAATTATTCCGAACTTATTTAAGACATAGTCACTGCTCACACTAAACATTATACGCAGCTTTGAAGAACTGTGAGAGGTTATTTAATTTACCTGCTTTATATTATTCCAGGGAAAATCTCCTGGCATCAAATGGAAAACTCTGAATAATTCAGATGAGGAAACAAGCGATGGTTCTGATGAAGTTGATGGCGATACGGACGAAGAGGATAATAACGATAAAGCTGGTGATAATTTCCAAAATTTTTAAATCTACTAAATAGCAAGATAACAGCTAAATTATAGCAAACTTATTAAAAGCTCATGATGTATCTCAGAAAAGCCGGTGACAGTTATTTTTGCTCTTCTTTTGGTTAAACAATTCCACATCAACTAAGTATAACGAAATAATCTCAAGTATTAGGGATCGTTTAAAATTCCCTATAAAGCCGGCCCTATTTATTTTTCAGGAATGTCGGATACGGAAACGAAAAACCTTCTAGAGGATGCGATTGAAGATGAGGAAGAGTCAGATTTAGAAGATAGTAAAACACTTAGTAGTGACTTAGGCCGAACGTCGAAACCGATTCAGGTTCTTTTTTTCTGTACTTCAATAGAAAAAAAAAGTCGAAATTATGAATAAGGGTCGGCAATAAATTGTTGATACATATTAGCTGTGCTTTGATTGGTTATTGCTACTACTTGTTTGTACAGTGTTTTTAATAAGATCTTCTAAGTGTTCCGATTGAGCTTTTAAGGTTTTGGAATTTCAATCACACTTCACTACTAAGATATAGAAGCTAATTGTTTAGTCGTTAAGTTTGAAGTAAAGTCTAAGTATCATTGGATAGAATTAATTTCTTCCGATATGAATATGACTGGAGTAAATAGATTGAACAAGTTTTTCAGGATAAAACTTCCTCGGAATCGTTAGCAGATTCATTATATGGGATGTCTGAAGAACAAAAGGCTTATTATACAAAATGTTTTAATTACCTAATGAAAAAAACGGCTGTAAGTATATGATTCAGTATCTTCCGAATTTGAAATTGCGTTCGCTATTTCGGAATATGTTCCGATATTTTAATATGTGGTTTGAAAAGTAATTCGCTTATATTCGAGACTCAGCAACTGATTTAATGAGCATCTATTATTTATATTTCACAGAAAAAACCCACGACGTTATCTGTTGCACTTTTCCTTTCAGTTTGTTCTTTACCCAAATTTCTTGTAATTTGTAATAATTCAGTAAAAGAAAAGATGAAAAGAAATAATAAAATTTTATTGCAGGGGTACATTGATCTAAACGGTGCTATTTGTGGTGCAAACGAATATGTTGTTGAGTTTTTTAAGCGAAGTGGTTTAAATCGTGAAAAACTGTCCAAAATTTGGAGTTTAAGTGATGTGAACGAAGATGGATATTTGGATTTGAATGAATTTTCAGCTGCAATGCATCTTATTGTCTTACACATCAAGGTTATTTTTCTAGGTTTACTTGAAATTTCTGGAATAAGTTTCCTCAGCATTATTTGCACTTACACATTTCGCATTTCTGTAACATTATATTCAGATCAAGTTTTTAAATAATTTTTTAAAATACGCCTTTTTTGCTGAGATTTTATAAACACGATGGTATTCATCTTTTTGTTTTTAGGGTCACATTCCGATTCCAGATGTTATTCCATTTGAAATTAGTCCCCCTGTTATGCCACGTCGAGATATCTTACAACCGGCTGCTAGTTTGTAACTTTGAATTTTAAGCTTTCCCAAGTGAAATTTTCTTAAATTACTTTCGTATGTGGTTTTCTAATACAAAAATTCAATCATGTATCATATATCTATAGGTCTACGAAATTGGCTTTAAATATTTTTATTCACGAATTTTATAGATGATGGTAATAGCAGACAAGAGGCAGAGACACAATCAGCCAATAGCATGCAGGATTGGAAACAATTCGATTATGATGATGTTGTAATACCTGGACACTATTCGCAACAGCATCACTCCTTCAGTGATGAGCATCTTCATGTTCAACCAGAAAATCATGTTCATTCTTTGTTTAAATTTATTCAAGATTTTTGAAAAATTTCTTTGCATTAGTAACAGTTCAGTTATGATATCTTCACCTCTTTCAATTTTTATGTACATAAAAAATTTATTTATTATTTCAAATACTTTATTATTGATCTTTTCTTAAGTCTTCAATGAAGAAATATTTTTTAAGCTTTGAGAGTATTTTTTGAATGTTTATTCCATAATTCGTTTTGGTCTTTTGCAGAATTCTCCAGAAAGATTGAGTACCTTCTCAGATGTGCCACCACTTCTTGTCGATATACGTCCGACAGCACTAAAAGCCACTCAACGTATGATTTAAGTGTAATTTTAACTTTTGAAATGCACGTAGTCTTCATCCGTGATAGGATTACTGGTAATCTGGTGGTCACTATTGAGTTACAGAATTAGTTTATCTTGGAAGAAAATGTAAGATGCTTGTTATTAGCAATTTAAGAATAAAAAATTGTAGAAATGTACTAAAGCTATTAAAAGAATGCTCAACTCTTATAATAACTACTCTAACTCCTCTAATCCTTATATATTAAATATGACCCTTATATAGTAAAGATTTTTCTAGAGATAGCTCTATACAATCTTAGTTTAGCATCAAGTGAAATGTTGAAGTTATACAATCACATATGAACTGTGCTCTTCAATCTACGTGAAGAAAGAGGGTATACAAAGGCTATATAATTTATAGGAATATATCATGATTACAGTTTCTCTTAATCAAGACAACATTTTTTATGTCTAGAATCCAACTGTTACTCTAGATAAATTTTCAGATTTCAGAAATACAAGTTTTACCAAATAGAAGAAAAAACAAGACATAGTTTTGCTAAACTGTGTTTTGTATTTTTTCTTTGGTAAATTCTTAATAGTTATAATTAACGTGAAGTAGATAAAAAGGTGTTATTCCAATTCGATTAACTATCTGTGCTAATAGTAAATTAATATTTGGTAGGCGTAGTTTGGAGCATCTCGTGTAATTGTGTAATGATTATACTACATTGTTTTAATATGAGCATGACCTTTTTTATCCTGATGCAGTGATATAGTATCAGTTCAACTTTCGATGAATTTCAGCTCTAATTTGTGCGATTACGGCCAAAACTGAATCTCCTTCTAATATGCAGTTTAATGAAGCTGCAAATTTTGCATTAAGCTCGCAGGCACCTAAAGGACCTCCACCGAAACCACCCCCAAGACCTGCAAATAAGGGACATGGACGCAGTGCCAGCCTGGACTTGAATAATTTTCAAAATTCTGCTGTAACAACATCTAGGTATGTTTTATAATTTTCTTAAATTCTGAAAATATGATTCTGAAAATTTTACACAATTCGTCTTCGACTATTTATAGATTAAAACTGAACCTAGCAACGGAAACATCACAGCGTGGCGCAACTCTTCCTGCTCAGGGATCATTGCGTCATCCATGCAGTTCTGTGCCTTCTGATACCATGCGCTTTTCAACAGCAACAGAATGGCAGGGTAAGCTTATTGAAGAACGATTTCTGACAGAAAGCGCAATGATTATTAGATTTTTCTTTCTATGAATTCTTGAATTTCTCTTCTTTCCCAATAAATTACTTATTTGACCCAATAATGAAGCCGGTTTCTGTCAAGAAATAACTGAGAAAAGTTTTGTCTCTTTTTTTGTTTGCACAAAATTTTTTGGTTATCAATACTCAACATTGGGAGCTGGTTTTGTCCTATAGATATGGAAAAAGATGTTAGCTTTCGATAACTGGTCACATTTAAAATTGGTGAATTAGCAGGACATTTCGAACTTTGTTCTATGAAAGCATTTTGTAGATCTCAGCTCTTCACTTCGGTGTCCTCCTGCTCCGCCGTTGCCACCACGATCAACATTTGTTGATGTTAGCGTACAAACAGAAGATATTTTGCCATCGCGAAGCTTTAATGATGGACGCGAACTAATCGAACTCAATATTGATATGGGTGAGTTATTTAATTATTATTTTGCATTTGTTTTTATCTACGTCATGTTTTTTAGTTTTAAGTAATCATAAGCGGTGAATCAAAATCATCGAAGTATCTTAGTGATAACTTTTGGTTCATTCACTTTGTGATATATCGCTTAATTCGCTAATAGTCAAAAATAGCAAATAAGCTAGAATGTGGAAAAGGTTCAAAAATCATGATTGGATTTTTTCTTTTAAAGAAAAACGTATCGAAGAATTATTGGCAGAGGAAAGTAATGCAAGTGCAAGTGGTGGTTATAATACTAGCACATGTGGTGGCACGAAAGCAGATACTGCAGCATCGACCGGGCAAGTGAATTGGCAAGTTCGGTGTGATCACTTGCGTTTATTAAACAATCATTTGGAAGCAGAACG